ACAGGATGTTGTGAATCATAGTTTTTAATTTCATGTTTTTTGTGAGTTGCGACGTCTCTGATTTGCACTTTCTAATGGAAAAGCATTACATTACAAATACTGTGCTCACTAAAAATGAAGCTAAAATAGGATGAGAATCAAAGTAAATGGCAAACACACAGAAATGTATTTGGGGATATTTCACAAACAAATGGAACCTGGGAGAAAATGTGCTTACTGTGAAGTTCTATAGAGCTGCTTTGACAAACATTTCTTCCGTTATTTGTCAAAATATCAATCATTAAACGCCCTAACTCTATGACATCCATAGAGTCTCATTGTCCACGTTGTGTGGTGCTGCAGGTGTCCAAGATGATCAACGGTAAGGATGTGAACCTGAAGCTGGTGCTGCAGAGTCAAAGCAGCGATACCCGGCCGCTGTCCATCCACATCTCCGTCCAGGCCATGAAGTACAACGGGTCACCAGCAGGGAAAATCCTGACTGAGGACAAGGAAGTGACGCTGCTGCCTGGGAAAGGTGACTCCCTCTTCTCAGGATGCTTTTTTTTCCTCTGCACAGTTATGTTGCTGCTGACTTTTAGAAGCAAACATCTTAGAGTGTGGCCTAAACTATACACTGTCTCCTCCAGTTCTGTCCGTCCCCATCGTGATCCCGTTCTCGGCCTACCATAAATTCATGGTGGAGAGTGAGAGCATGAAGATTACAGCTATGATCACAGACAAAGGCGAAAAAGAAAACAGATACCTGGCTACGGATGACATTGTGCTGATGGACCCTCCGATCACCATCACTGTCAGTAGAAAACCTCCAACTTTCTGTCTATAAAATCATCTGCTTTGTTCAAGGAGACTCAGCCACATTAGTTGACACTTAGTGATTTCTCCTTTCACAGAAAAACCTGAACTATATATGACACGAGTCTGTGAGGCAGCACTTTGAGCTAAATGCTAAAACTCGAGTGCTAACTTGCTTACAGTGACATAAAAAGGCATGAGCAGCTTTACCTGCATCACCGTCTTATTTTAGTGTGTCGTCATGCAAAATCAGTTAATTGGCACTAAACGCAGAGTACAGTTGAGAACGGCGAGTATTCCTATACATTGACCCGATGCCGGCACTAAAAAAAAAGTCAGAGACTCACCAAAGTTACTAGTTTATGAAATGCCGACTCTGTGGGTCATCATGTTGGTAGAATGTGAGTTTGGGAGGCAACAACAACAGGGGACATATGCTGCATGATTTCTTGTTTTTCTGCAGGCTTTAAGCAAATTTGCAGACGTTTCCTAAACGATTGCACTGGAATGAACTGTTTGTGTTCCAGGCTCCTGCTGAGACCGGACTGCATGCACTGGCAAGTGGGGAGGTGATTTTCATGAACCCTGCCGATGAAACCCTGACGAACTGCACTCTGACTCTGTCTGGAGCCGGCCTGTTTAAAGCGGACGTTGATTGCCAGTAAGAGATATGACTATGCTTTNAGTGCTGATTTGTGGTTTGTCTGTCTGATGGCCTTCATTGTCTCCCCTCCTACAGGTATATACTGCTGTGGCCCAGCCCCAGTCAAAGCCATCTTAGATGGATACACTGATTTTAAATACGACGTCCCATTTGTCTTTGCTGAGGTCAATGCCGACTGCATTGACTGGCTGGTAAGTGGGAGTAGAGCATATATCCTCATCAGTCTTCAACTTAATACATACAGGGGCAATTACCAAAAAAAAAAAAAGAGGGGCAGCTGGAGACAAGTGGAAGCTTGATCCAGTTTTATCTCCAGATACGTTTCATGATTGCTTTCTTTTTGTTGTGTGTGTTCGTGCGTCCTGTCAGGTTGGCAGCGAAGGTGAACTGTATCCCTTAAACTCTGACACCAAGCGAGTCGGGCAGTTCATCTCCACCAAGTGTGTTGGTTCCAAGCAGAGGGAGGACATCACCAACACCTACAAGCACGCCGAAGGTGGCTCGCACTCTGTTATTCATACTGTACAGCGGTGGAAATTACATATTGCTTTGTTCAATTCAGTTTAGAGATTTGTGGTTACTTACGATGTAGTCACATAATAAGTCACACATTCATACACCACAATGTTAATCGCATCATTTTGTACATGTGGCTTTGGAGATAATTTCAATTACCTCCCTTACAGGATCATACAAGGAGAGGATGACCTTTGTATTTGCCACCACCAGAGACTACTCCAAAACTGATGAGGAATGGTGGCTGGAAGATGAGGAATTTATGGAATGGATGGAGGAAGGAGCTGAGGATGAAAAGATGGAGGAAGAAGCTGGAAGTGGAGGGACTGATGGTGGAGCTGAAAGTGGAGCGACCCCTGCAGAAGCTGGAAGTGGAGCGACCCCTGCAGAAGCTGGAAGTGCAGGGACCGCTGCAGGAGCCGGAAGTGCAGGGACCGCTGCAG